CTGCTGAGGTATGGAAAGAATGAAGAACTCAAAAGGAACACCGTATACAAAACTCAAGAGGGTCATCAAATAAAACGAAAGGAACACGTGGAAAACTTGGGAATAATTATGTCAGCGGACCTTTCTTTTAAAGACCATAACAAGACAAAGATCACGACAGCCAGGAAGATGACGGGGTGGTGGTATCGAGAACTTTCAAAACAAGGGAAATAATGCCGATGGTGACACTCTTCAAATCGCTAGTGCTCCCTCACATAGAATATTACTCAGTGCTGACGGCCCCGTTCAGGACAGGAGAAATATCAGAGCTGGAACAAATACAGAGATCGTTTACGGTTCACATTGAGCCAGTAAAGCACCTAAACTACTGGGAACACCTGGAAGTATTGAACATGTACTCACTGGAGTGGAGGAGAGAGAGGTACATGATAATATATACCTGGAAGGTACTCGAGGACCTGGTCCCAAATCTGCACACTGCCATAACAACATACTGGAGTGAGAGATATGGGAGGAAGTGTAAAATAAACCCAGTGAGGAGCAGGGGTGCGGTGGGCACAATAAGAGAACACTATCAACATCCGGGGTCCCAGACTATTGAACATCTTACCAGAAGGTATCAGAAACACTGCTGGAACAAGTGTAGAAGTCTTCAAGAGGAAACTAGACAAGCATCTTCACCAGGTGCCAGATCAACCAGGCTGTGGTGAATATGGGACAGTGATCCTCCATCACTAACAGCCGGTTGATCGGGCAAATACCAGACAAGCCTGGCCCATGGCCGGGCTCAGAGAGTAGTAAGACTCTCGAAACTCATCAGTTACATCAAATGTACGCACACACACACACACACACACACACACACACACACACACACACACAACACCACACCCACACACACACACACACACACACACACACACACACCCACACCCACACACACACACACACACACACACACACACACACACACACACACACACACACACACCACACACACCACCCACACACACACACACACACACACACACACACACACACCACACCCACACACACACACACACACACACACACACACACACACACACACACACACACACACCACACACACACACACACACACACACACACACACCACACACACACACACACACACACTCAACACGCACAACACGCACAACACGCACAACACGCACGCACAACACACACACACACACCACACACACACACACACACACACACACACACACACACACACACACACACACACACACACACACTCAACACGCACAACACGCACACACACGCACAACACGCACAACACGCACAACACCACAACACACACGCACACACACACACACACACACACACACACCACACACACCACACCACACACACACACACACATCAACACGCACAACACGCACAACACGCACAACACGCACACACACACACGCACACACACACACACACCACACACACACACACACACACACACACACACACCACACACACACCACCAACACGCACAACACGCACAACACGCACAACACGCACAACACACACACACACCACACACACACACACACACACACACACACACCACACACACACACACAACACACACACATAGCAGGCTCCTGGGTTTGCGTCTCTTTCAAGCCTGATAATTATGGTAATGAAGCAATCTCTCTCTCTGGCCAGATGGAGAGATAGGAGACCTCTCCAGCAGGCAAACCTCCTCTGTTTCTCCCCCTCTCTCTGTCTCTCTCTCTCTCTTTCTTTCTCTCTGTCTATCTCATCTCTTGCTTGTAGCTTGTCTTTCAAAACTGTGGAGCTGAATACAATCCCACTCAAACCTCTCTTCTCCAGGCTGAGGGACTGACCCCATCCCTCAAACCTCTCTTTTCCAGGCTGAGGGACTGACCCTATCCCTCAAAACCTCTCTTCTCCAGGCTGAGGGACTGACCCTATCCCTCAAACCTCTCTTCTCCAGGCTGAGGGACTGACCCCATCCCTCAAACCTCTCTTCTCCAGGCTGAGGGACTGACCCTATCCCTCAAACCTCTCTTCTCCAGGCTGATGGACTGACCCTATCCCTCAAACCTCTCTTCTCCAGGCTGAGGGATTGACCCTATCCCTCAAACCTCTCTTCTCCAGGCTGAGGGACTGACCCTATCCCTCAAACCTCTCTTCTCCAGGCTGAGGGACTGACCCTATCCCTCAAACCTCTCTTCTCCAGGCTGAGGGACTGACCCCATCCCTCAAACCTCTCTTCTCCAGGCTGAGGGACTGACCCTATCCCTCAAACCTCTCTTCTCCAGGCTGATGGACTGACCCTATCCCTCAAACCTCTCTTCTCCAGGCTGAGGGACTGACCCCATCCCTCAAACCTCTCTTCTCTACTTCATCACTCTCCAGATTGTTCCACTTCCTGACAACTATATGACTGGAG